TATAGAACGCTTCAACTTTTTTCCGTCATAGTTTGATGTCGGCGCGTGAACGATGAAGATTGTCAAAGCCGGTATTGATCCACATCTTTTTAATCGTAAACGTCCGATTCAGGTTGTAAGCTGTTCGAATGGATCGATGTTCACGGACAAACTCGTGTAGACGAGAACGCTAGAACTCTACCGTCGCATGTTCCGAGGAACAGTTCTTCTTCGCTGTCAGAGACGGCGTTGAATGGGTGGCGTTTTCTCATCTCGGCCAGGCCAATAACGTCGTACCTTATCCTTCTTGCTTGCGTAAGCAAGTCTTCTATCGAGGACTCGGATGCAAGTGTACGTGCATTGTAGGTACAGATCGTCACCACAGTTCTTTCTAATCCAGGCAGCTTCCATCGGCCCTATGATTTTGGCAGCCTCTCCGTACTCGTCCTACCCAACGCTGCGAAATTGTGAGCTCTTTCGGGGTTAGGGGAATGAGGCCCGTTTTTTAAAATGTATTATCATTTTGATACCCACGTATAGCTTGCTGGGCTCTGGACGTCGGGGCTGGTTATACTCATGGGCAGCTTGCCAGGCTCTCTCTGAGTGGATATTGAGCTCATTTGTTGGAGGCGACTCCTAACCACCTCCCATATACTTCCATGTCACTTGATTCCAGGCTTTTGGCCTAATTGACTCGTAGAATACAATCCACATAGGCGAGAACGCACCCACACACGCATTCATGAATACGCCTAGCAAATACATAAAGTATGTGCCAAATCAGTGCAGCAGAAACAGGGAGTCCATCCCCTGGATCCACCTGCATCTCAGGGAAGCAAAGGTTGCTTTTGGTCCGCGATTAACCCCCTATCTGCCACCTGGGGACGCACCACTTAGCCTCGCGACTAACCGGCTCGAGATCCCCCATTTAAGAGAGATCCGTGGGGAAGTAAAAAAAATAAAGTAAAAATATAGTTGAGAGAAAAGCAAAGCAACAATCTCGTTTGGTGTGATGGATAGCACGTGAGTCTCCGGAACGGGTAATCGAACAGTGTGAGATATAACTACAAGATTGCTGAGATATTTGCAAAACTCCGGACCGCAGGTGTCTGCGGTGGGAACGAACGCGCTACTGTCTTTTCCGGGGAGTAACGCATTCACCACCACACCATGCGGATCCCTCGTTTCGCCTGTCTCTCAGCTAGTTCCATCTATCTCTGCCTTCAGCAATCATCGATGTGGGCTCCTCAGATCAATCCCGTTGACGGGTGATTGCTGACGGCACAGATCGATAGAACTAGCTGAGAGACAGGCGAAACGAATGACTCGTATGGTGTGGTGGTGAACGCGTTACTCCCCGGAAAAGACAGTAGCGCGTTCGTTCCCACCGCAGACACCTGCGGTCCGGAGTTTTGCAAATATCTCAGCAATCTTGTGGTTGTATTTCGCTTAATACCCTGCTATGAGAATAACAGAAAATAAAAAGTAAACAGTGTGACATATAATCATGTTGCCTACCATCGAATAACTGTGGGTTGGGTAGTTAAAATGGAAGGTTAAATGATTTCGATGACCCTGATTTGAAGAATACAAGGCGATTCACTGAGTGAGTCCAGAAACCAACACGGCGAAGGTAGTGCAGAAAGGAATCTATCGCTACCAGGTAGATATGCCATTTAATCCTTTCGAAACCGATAAGGGCCCACCATCTGTCTGAGGTTGAATTGAAAATCCTTATAATAGTTCCCAGGATCGACTTTCTCTTAACCTCGGCATTGGACAATCGCGAGGTTTTTAAACAGCATACATTTACTTCCATAGAAAAACACAATAGGATACAACGCTAGCTGACGTTTCGGCAGTATCGCCTTCTTCAGAGCCTGGAAGGGTATACTGATATGCAATCTACTAGGCCAAACGCTTCAATAAAACTTACAAAAAGACAAAGAACTCTCTGGTAATTACATAATCAACAACTTCTTGAAAAAACCCACCGCTTTTTCGTGACTTCCAATGAGGAAGTTTAGAACAGCTGATTATAGTCGCATGTGGTTGACGACTGCACCATCCCACATCAAAAATCGAAGCGAACATACCGGATCAGGTCGCGTATGACCTCCGTACATTCATCCCTGCTATTCATTGTAGGGTTTTTGGCATTTATCCAAAAAGCCCCAAAGAGTTTTTGCGCTGGTGTTTTGGACTCCTGTGCAAGAGTATTGACTTTTACTTCAAAATCGTCTCCGCTATGCTTTTGTATCCTATGCGTGCCTAATGGGGTGCTTCGTCTTAGTTTTCGTTTGCCATCTAGGTGTTCTTTTATACGGATACACAAAGGTCTGCCCGTTTCGCCAATATATTCATCTCTGCACTCATTACAAAAGATCAGGTATATCGTACCTGAACTCATGCAATCACCGTCCCTGCCGTAAGGGCAAATTACGCAATTTGTTGTTTCACACAGACGGTCGTACAGGCGGTTGCGAACTAATTGGCGACGTAGAGTAGTCGGTGGTATTTCAACTATCGCTACCGATTCCTCTAGACCTGTCTTTCTTAAGCATCGTTTTATAGCTGCGCTTACTTCATCGCTTATAAAAGGCAACATAAACGGGATTTAGTTTTGACCAAGTGTTTCGCGTGGGCGCGTCGTTCTCCTTGTAAACTTATCTCGTGGGGTTACTATTTCGTAGCCATTGGAGATGGCTATTTGCTGGTCGTTCTCCTTGTAAACTTATCTCGTGGGGTTACTATTTCGTAGCCATTGGAGATGGCTATTTGCCGAGCCAAGTCGCACACAAAGAGGGGGAAAATCCTTAGTGCTACGTCATACATTGCAATGGCATCAAAAATCATTTGGGAGTTGGATATGTGAAAGGAGAATATGAGAAAGTCATCCATAAAATCGGTTTTGAGTCTGTTCAGTCCAGTGCAGAAAAAGATAGAGTTTGCTGGAATTTTGTCGCATTTGCTCGAGTTCAGGCTCTACAGATGAGTGCAGTTCAAAGTCTAGGGACGAGATTCAGTGGCCTAACAGTCTCCTTTTGTGGTGACTCTGAACATGTGCCGCTCTTAATCCAATACTCTTTCTCTGTGATAAGGTCATTCACATAGGACCATAGTGAACAGGTATAAAAAATGCCTATGAGTCTAAGTACCTCTTATTTGCAGATGTTGGAACCACACAACGTACTTCTGGCGCGGAAAACTCGCCCGCACTTCAGGCGTCGCATATTATTGGTAGGATTAGCCATATTTGCCTGTATTAACTTCTAACTCTTTAATGTTCAGCTTCATATTAAGATCTTTTGGCGAAAAACTTCTATTGGATATAAGGAGAAGGAACGTTCACCATACTGATGTCCCCCATTGGTCGTAGCATTTGAGTCAGTTCTGAATTCAGTGCATCAATCTATGGAATGTTTCTCTTTTTCAACTTATTCTCAACGATTTGGGTTTCCTGAAGATTAACGAGTGTAACTGAAGCGTTTTGCTTATTCACGCCTCCCACCGTGTGGGCTACATGCATTACATTTTGTCCTCGAGCAAAATCTGCATGACCTATGGATATGTCGTTTCTTTAGCACTTTTCATATTGAGCTCCATTTCTTCCACCTATTATTTGGCGTTTTATATGTTTTACTTTTTGGATATCCAGTATGCTTCTTTTCGCAGATTTTTATCCCTGGTCTATAATTTACTATTCGATATATGTAATAGAACAACACGGTCATATTTTTCTGGGTTTATGTGGTGCAAAGGAAGAAAAATCAATCGAACGCTATATTTAGGAGAGCTTTTGCCTAAGATTAAAAAGAATAAACTAATGAAGCTCAGCACAGTGTACGGTCTATTTAGATGCATACCGTCAATTTCGATGAAGTAGAATCTGGAAATACCAATGAAGAATCCGATGAGGACGAACATAACATCCAGCGATCAGATATCATCTGAATCCTTGGAGGAAGTCAAAATGAAGTGGATGAACTATTTCGTTTTGGAACAATAGAACCTGTGCCATTCTCATAAATTAGTTGTGGGTGGTATCCGAGACCGGCTCGGTGAAGGAGTCAAAGTGTCGTGAAAACCGGAAAGTATTAAGAAACTCAAGAGATTTAGAACTTCTTTTGTTTTTTGGGCTGCGTTTTTTAGACCACACTCGAGAAAGTCATGCGAACACTGGAATGGGTCAACATGGGAGTGAAAATCGACGGTGGGCAATTACGCCATCTTTGTTTTGCTGACGTCGCTCTTATGACACCAAGCGTTAGCCAAGCAGAACGAATGCTTGCAGACTTTGATAAAGCCTGTGAAAAGATTGGTCTTCGATTGAATCTCACAAAAACGATGTTCATGAGGAACGAATTGGTTTCCCATGCCCCATTCGTGTTCAACCGTATGAGCATTTCCGAATATTCCAGTTACGTCTATATAAGTCGGAAAATCAATAATGACGAGCAACTTAGTTCCACAGTTGAGCAAGAGGAAGCGTGCAGCTTGGCGAACTTTCAAAAACATCGAGGATATGATAAAGATAACAAAGAACACCCCACACCGTGCCCATCTTCTTGTGTTCAAGATTTTCGACTTTCGACTGCCTTAATGTATACGTCAGTAACCTTCAGTAACCTGGTCGCCACGTAGGCAGGATGAAAGATCACTCGGTGTTATTGGACGCGCAGTCGAAAGAGCGATGCTAGGAGTATCTCGTATTACGCAAGTGAGAGAGAGGATACGATGTTCCGATCTACATCAACAATCAACAGTCAAAGGCTCCTTTCTATACTCCAAACTGTCGGAGATAAGGTGGGCCGGACACTTAGTTCGTGTGAACGAGAATTGATGGTCAGAACCGTTAATGGTTCCACGGGACGTCAGCGTACTGCAGGAGGACACCGACCTCATGGTCGGAGTTCTTTATGAAAATCGTGGGAAAAAGATATGATGCTGAACGAGTCCCTAAAGCGAGAAGGACCTATTGGGCTACTTGTGAATGCAACAGAGAGAAATGGTAGGTTTAGTGGTGCCCGCTCGAGCCATTCGAAGATCAACGGGAGTGTACGTCACAAATAACCAGTGCCAGCATTGCAAGCTTAAATCGAAAGGTTTTAGAACTGCTAGTGTCTTTCTAAAGCAATCGGCATCGGAAGGGTTTATTGTTTCGCATAAACCGTTGGCATTAACTGTTGAAAGAATTTATCAGACCACCTTTGGCAGACCTTGAAGAAGTCGAGTAATCGGAAAACGTTGCTCACAGTACACTTCTCTTCTATTGAAATTTCTGCAAAATAGTAGACTTTGAGGACACTTCATGTCATTGGTGGGACTTTATTGATGATTTGTTTACAGTTTCACATGGAGAAACGGTAGCAGAGGTGTTCCCTCAATGGTTGAGACTCGCTTGGAAGCGTGGACATTTCTACCACGCGTACGATCTGAATATGCCTTCACTCATTCCGAAGTGAGGCTTGGAATTTTTAATTACACAACAAATAAGACAAGCTGCTATATCGTGGTCCCTTTTTTATCGCTTATCCCCTTCTCGTCTCTCTCCTAACTGTGAACTTCTTCGCTGTTTTCAGCCGACCGATGGAGCATTTTCGCTATGATCCTCCATTAAGTGAGCACGGCTATCTTTCTGCTGAGGTCGCAGGCCATTCAATCAAATTGGCAGGATATGAACCTGTCGTGGTAAATCATACTTTTGGCATTACATGCAACATCAAGAATTTCGCCACATAAAGTATATCATATGTGCCAAGTGAAACTTCACCATGGTATTTCTACTTGAGTTCCAGATTTACTCGTCGCCCGAACTTCGTTGTGTGCAGACAGCATCTGCTATTATCCGAGCTTTCGAACCTACCACAATTCAAATTTGTATGGAGCCATCTCTCGCCGACTGGGTGCAGTTCACTCCAAAAGACATTTCTAAACAGTGGCTGATTCCCCAACAGGTCCCATTATGTGCCTTTGCTTTACCGCCCTATTTGCTAGTGATTGTTGCGCTTGCAGTTTTCACAACTTGGTTATCCCGTGAATTCGCTGTATAAGCCATATCTTTCTGAAGTTCCTACGTCTGAATCACCAGATGACTACCTACGGCGATTAAGTCGCTTCTTCAACGCGATCTCAGAGCCTAACAAGAGGTGAACATTCTGCTGTTCGTTTACATGACATGAAATGCATAACACACCAAAGGATTTTTTTAAATTGGAGACATACTTTTTATTTGGCACTATTTACTGAGTCTTTCGCTTTCTCTTCGTGTCTTCGAGTTATCGAGCTGACTGTTGGTTTAATAACCAGCAATTTTCTAGAGTTAAAATTACAAAACAATTAGTGGATCTGATATTGTGATTCTCTCAGGTGTTTCTTCCCAGCAGTGTATTCGAATGATTCCAGGGTGGCTGTGGTGGTGACGAATGCGCATGCGATCTCCGCAGCCAGAGATGCACCGTGGACTTCGGTTGAGCAGCTCTGCCAGGTGAATGAGAGAAGGCATCTTTCTGTTGTTGGTACTAAACTAGAGAAGCACAGATTTGAACAGCTACCGATTCAGGCCAAAATTCAGAGCTATGACGTCCTACCAAAGTCTAGCACTTCCGCATGAAAGGAGTTATTAGCGGTTTTTCACGAGATAGTAAAATTCGGACTCTTCTCATGCAATTCACCTCCTGGTATTATCCTGCCAACAATTTTTTCTCGCTAGATAACTGCAAGAAAGATGCCTCTCAATATTCAATTAATCTAAGATTTGTTTTAAAAAAGGCTAGAAATCTTGTCAACATAACGACACCATTCCTGATTACTTAATACTTGATACTTGAATGGCGCGTCCACACTGGTTGTGCGGACCCCAGCATAATTTCCAATCTACGGAGATTTACTAGTTTATCCATTGTGGTTCCCTGGAATCCCAAGGTCAGCCTGGTCAAAGTCTGCTCCAGGTCTTCACCACCACAAGAGTCGCAGCCCTTGTGGATCAGAGGAAGATTTACCACCATGCGACTTTGATACCAGGACGATGGTGGATCCTGGTATTGGTTTACTCTTAGCTAGGCTTCGTGATGGAAACGCCATACTCCTCAGTTCAACTTTTTGTACACCCTGCCAAAGATTTTTTCATAGTAGTCAAAAGTCAGGGCTAGAGGCAGATGAAATTTCCAACAAATTGTTATGTTTCTGCGATGGAGATCGAACATGCTATTACCCTTCCCAGGTACTAACGCATTCGTCACCACACGCGGGCCGTTCGTTTCGCCTTTCTCTCAGCTAGTTTTCTACCTGCCGGTGCTGCCGGTCCATTGATCTGGGCAGCTCAAATTCCGTTTACGGGTGATTTCCGATGGCACTGATCGATAGAAAACTAGCTGAGAGACAGGCGAAACAATGGACCCACATGGTGTGGTGGTGAACGCGTTAGTCCCCAGAAAAGGTAATAGCGCGTTCGTTCTCCACCGTAGACACGTCCGAAGTTTCGCAAATATTTCAGCATCATTGTGGTTGAATCACCAAGTAGCAGCCAAATTCACGCGCAACTACGAAATCCTTCGTGCATTACGTGCCAGAAAACGAGTAGAATGAAGGGAATACTGAGATTTACACAACAAGTTTTGTGGGGTCATGTAAAAAACTACTCTTTTGATTCGCAATTCAGAAATAAACGCTGTAAAATAGAGAGATAAAAAGGTTTTCACATAGGCGTACCGAAAAGGGAGGTTTTTTCTTGCACGTATGCTTTGTTGATGCTGTGGTGTCGGTTTGAAGAAAATCTCTCAAAGAAATGATTTCACTGTCGCCAAATCCCAGGCCGCTCATCTGTTGTGTACCTCGTTGTCATCGCTAAAAGTGGAAGCTGCCAGCACATGGCGACATCGTTTGCCTTTTCCCGAGCGTATCGGTGACTCCACGCATGCTGGCACCTCTCACTTTGCAAAATAACTACAATTATTTTAAGCATTTTCAGATTAAGAACACGATAAGAAACAGTGAAATATGCGAAATAACGATCACTCAGAATAAGACGGTTGGTGTTCAGATTCTTATCACTTCTATTACATTTGAAGTGGAGTCAAATATTATAAAAGGCTTATGAACGAGTATAAAACAACGTTCGGAGTTGGCGAAAAATAGTAGAGCGTGCAGGTCAAGTCAGGAGTCAGATAGACGTGGAGTCATGTTCATTTCTCACATTTCCGTACATCAGCAGCAAAGCTCATTTTTCAACTGTGCCACGGACAGTGACCCCCTACCGAATGCAGAGTGTAGTTGCTGTGTTGATTTGCCTATTTCCAGTCTCCTATGCAAAAAACTTGGGGATTTGAACTCATTCTATTTACTACTGTCGATGAAGTCACGTTCAGGTACAAGCAGTGGAATCGCGGCTGATACCGTTTACCAAAACCATGAAAGAACTCGAAGAAAACGCAGTCAACTAGACAACCATCGATATTCTCATGTGTGGTATCGTGAAAAAATGACACGATTATAACGTTTTAAAGACGATTGCACTTCTTCACTAGTGATCTCATGAATAATTCGTAATCAACTTGCGCTTGAAGAATATGCTCTAGCCATGAGGTGAAGAAAGAATAACACTCAAGTATTAGCCCGTGCAATAATAGAGCAACTACTTGCTGTCACAGAACACACAGAAGAAACTTGCAGAGAAAGAGCCGATGAGAGAGGTGGTGGATTCGGCACAGTCGCAACCCAGGAAGTTTCGCCGTGTCCATGGATGCTGAGTCGATGAATCAACTACGCGGTTACCACTATTACATGTGGCGTTTGGAGAAAGAAAACAAGCAGTTGAATGTAAAACATGCGGTGTCCAAGCTGATTTCTTCACCATTTATTGGAGTTCAAAACGTTTTAGTGCTTCGTATATGTGGATATTGGCCTTTTCATCGGGGTTGTTAAATCATAGAATGCTCAACGAAGTGTCAGGCTGGGTCATGAATGCCGTGAAGGAATTTCAGTTTGTGAAATCACAAATTCAAGCACAAAGCACTTGAAAGAGAATCTCTACTTTCAAAAACTTGTACGTTTCTTGGTGCTTCTTCGTCGAACAACTCTACTGAATCAGAGGAGAATCTACCACCTAGAACAACGGATATCATGGAACGCAACAGCACAGAACTCATGATGTCCTTCGTTAGCTAGCATACTGAGCCTTCATGTCTCTGGGAGGAACGTAGTTCACAGGACATATTTCTACAATCCATTTTCTCTTTAAAAACAAAGAGAATACCAAGAAAAGGATTTATAGCACAATTTTACTATGACTGGTTTAATGGATGGCCGTTAGAATTCGTATATTTTGAGGGCACAGCTAAAACAATGGACAGAGGTGAATGTTTTGTTTATTATTTTCAAAAGCCCATAGCAGAATATAGAATGTTCAGTTTTCAACATGTTCTACTTCATCTTTAGCTGATGCGAGGTTGGTATAGGTTTTCGTTGTCGTTGGTGTTGTTGGTCGATGGCTGACGTTTCGGCGATTTTGCCTTCCTCAGAGTCTGGACGTATTTTTCTACGGAAGAGAAAGAGAAAAAAGGCTTAAGTATTAATGAAGATCGAAATTTTAAATAGACGTCATATTGATCAGAAAGGCCATTCACCGTGATGTTACGTGTGGGACAGGCCCACGCGTACATGCGTTGTTCACATGGGATCGCGAGCAAGACACGCTCCGGGGTCAAAATATCATTTTGAAATAGGGCGCCAGGTCACGCGTGATAGTGAGGCATTCGTCCTTCCGGTTCATCTTTGGATTTTTGAAATTTATCCAAAACGCCTCAAGAGTTTTGCGCGTTGATGTTTTTGATTCCTGCGCTAGAATCCGCACATTCACTTCAAAATCATCGCCGTTGTGCTTTTGTGCCCTATGCGTACCTAGAGGGGTGTTTAAACGGATTTTAGCTTTCCCATCTAGATGTTCTTTTGCGCGGACACAAAGTGGTCTACCCGTCCCCCAATATATTCCTCGCCGCATGCATTACATGAGATCAAGTATATTATACCTAAACTCATGCAATCCCCGTCTCTCCCGTTAGGACAGATCTCACAGTTTTCTGAGCTGCACAAACGATCATAGAGACGGTTTCGAACTAACTGGTGGCGTAGGGTATTGGGTGGGATGTCAATAATCGTTACATAATTTTCAAGACCACTTTTCTTAAGCACCTCTTAATGGCGTAACTTACTTTATTTGATATGCTTCAAAAAGCTTAAATCATAGCACCACGGCCGCTCAAGTTGCAAGTAAAAAATCCCGAAATAAACTGCGCACCAAGAACATCCAGAGCTACTGTGCTAGGAGGCATAACGCTTCCGAAAAATGCGCCTTCATTGTTAGAATTGGGTCCGAGTTTTGCGCCTAGTTAACCCATTTCTAAACCAATCCTGCAATAGTCTGCATGAACTTCAAGATCAGCTACTTTACAGGGCTAGGCTAGAAATTTTAGGTAAAGTAGTTCCAAGGGTAGAGCTACCACCAATACCTTTTCCCCAAACTTTCTTTAAACAAGTGCTACCCAATAGTGATATTAACCCTGCATTTCGTTTATTTTCGGACGAAATTCGCATACTTAATCACTACCAGAAAAGAAAAATAAGCTCCAACTTCACACACCAACAAAAATGTGGTATGCGCCAGGTTAGAGAGCTTTTGAGTTCAAAATCTGTTAGACTTTCTATTAGTGATAAAGGTGGAGAATTTGTAGTTATTCCTAGTCAGTTGGATATTAGGATAGCAGAGGAGCACCTCAGTGATGCTTCTCTCTATTGAACATCCTCTGAACAGGAATATAGAAACCAATACCGAAAATTAAATCAAGAATGAGTCAATACGGTAAAGGCCGCGGGTTTAGAGCTTTCAGTCATTTCTCGAGTTAAAAACGAACATCCGATTTGTCCTGTGCTTTACTTGCTTATTAAACACATAAGCTCATTTCAATTGATGATATTACATTAACGAACCCATCATCATTTAAAGTTAGACCTATCATCAGTTGTGTAGGCGGGCCAACGGATATAATTACGTGGTTCCTAAACCTTACCCTGACCCAGCTGCTAAAATTCATCCCAACCCATCTACCTAACACCAAAATATTTCTAGACCACCTAAGGCGCGCGCAACCAAACAGCACGCATATAGTGGGGTCATTCGATGTTAGTTCACTTTATACCAACGTGTCCAATGACTCCGCAATGCAAGCCATTCTCGAGTTGTTCGTAGAGCATGAAAAGAAAATAAAAATGCACGGCTTGTCGACTGCGCAACTAATGACTCTCTTAAAACAGTGTCTTAGTTATACCTTTTTATTTTCTGCCTACTATAATTTCGCGGCAGGGTACTAAGCGAAATGCAACCACAACGTTGCTGAGATATTTGCAAAACTCTGGACCGCAGGTGTCTATGGTGGGGAACGAGCGCTCTATTGTCCTTTCCGGGGAGTAGTGCGTTCACCACCACACCATGCGGGTCCTTTGTTTCGCCTGTCTCTCAGCTATTTCTATCGATCTTTGTTGAATGTCTCTCAGCTAGTTCTATCGATCGACATGCAGAGCGAAGGGCCCGGATGGTGTGGTGGTGAAGTGCGCTGCTCCCCGGTAAGGACAACAGTGCGTGTTTGTTCCCCACCGCATACACCTGCGGTCCGGAGTTTTGCAAATATCTCAGCATTATATACGAGTTATATTCCACAACATACCCTGCCATTAAAATGAAAAAGGCAGTAAATAAAAAGGTTAAGATTATGTAACGATTATTGACATCCAACCCAATACCCTACGTCGTTAATTAGTTCGCAACCGTCTCTATGCTCGTCTGTGCAGCTCAGAAAACTGTATGTTCCGTCTTAACGGGAGAGACGGGGATTGCATGAGTTTAGGCATAATATACTTGATCTCATGTAACGCATACGGTGAGGAATATATTGGGGAAACGTGTAGATCACTTTGTGTCCGCATGAAAAAGCATCTGGATGCGGGAGTTAAAATCCGTCTAAACACTCCTCTTAGTACGCATAGAGCACAAAAGCACAACGGCAATGATTTTGAAGTGACTGTACAAATTTAGACCTATCAACAGTTGTATAGGCAGGCCAACGGATAGAATAACGTGGTTCCCAAGCCTTATCCTGATCCAGTTGCTAAAATTCATTCCAATCCATTTACCCAACATGAATGCCTCACTATAACACGTGACCTAACACCCTATTTCAAAATGGTATTTTCACCGCGAGGTGTGCCTCGCTCGCGACCCATGTGAACAACACGTGGGTCAGCCCCACTCGTAACATCACGGTGAGTAGCCTTCCTGTTCAATATGGCGTCTATTTAAGAGTTTGATCTTCACTAATACTTCAGCCTTTTTTCCACCGAAAAATGAAAGTTTCCTTTTTTAACTTATTACTTACTGCCTACTCTTTTTTAACAGCAGGGTATACATTGTGAAATATAACTTCAATGATGATGAGATATTTGCAAAACTCCGGACCGCAGGTGTATGAGGTGGGGAACGAACGCGTTATTGTCTTTTCCGGGGAGTAGCGCGTTCACCACCACACCACGCGGGTCCTTCGTTTCGCCTGTCTTCCAACTAGTTCTATCGATCTTTTGCCATCAGTAATCACCCGATTTGGGCCTCCCAGATCAATCCCGCTGACGGGTGATTGCTGATGGCAAAAGATCGATAGAACTAGCCGAGAGACAGGCGAAACAAAGGACCTGCATGGTGTGGTGGTGAACGCGTTACTCCCCGGAAAGGACAATAGCGCGTTCGTTCCTCACCGCAGACACCTGCGGTCCGGAGTTTTGCAAATATCTCAGCATCATTGAAAGTATTCTTATATAAAATACGTCCAGGTTCTGAGGAAGGCGAAGTCGCCAAAACGTCAGCCATCGACCAACAACACCAACAACAACACTAACGACAACGAAGACCTATACCTACTTCGCATCAGCTAAAGATGATCAGTTTATAAGATCATATAAATAAATATATCAACTATCTATGCCGAGGTTTATAGAAAGGCGGCCTTTTGTGTGTTCTACTTCAGTTCTAGAAGAATCACAAGTAGTTTTCGAAAAGCAGGATCCTCGCGAAGGTGCTCGTGGTTCTGAGGGACTGTAAATGCGTAGAGGATCAATAACAAAGCAGTGTGAAAGTGGCTATGGAATGGCCAAGTGGTACACACTAAATAAAGGTGGTGAAACAAAAAAGGCACCATTCAGCTGCATCAATTCCTCGCTGATCGTGAAAACTGCTGGGGCATGAAAAAAGGGACTAGTTCCAATCGTTAGGATATCGATCAGAACATAGGAACAGCTGGAATAAAAAAATACCTGTGTGTGACTTGCTGATTAGCATAATCATCCTATTACCTTCTGTGATGCTGAAATATAAACTCCGGACCGCAGGTATCTGCGGTGGGAAACGAACGCTCTATTACCCTTTCCGAGGGCTAAAGCGTTCAGAACCACACCATGCGGGTTCTTCTTTTCCCCTGTCTCTCAGCAAGTTCTATCAATCACCACCATCAGCAATCACCCATTAACGGGATTGATCTGGAGAGCCCAAATCGGCAGTGACCCCAGTTGGCATCTTATTACCATCTGAAAAATTCTAGTACTATGGCATCCAACAGGGCACTTGCGAACATTGGCTCTTAATAAAGTTTTAGAAATATTCCAACTTATTGCACGGGTGAAGTTCTATCTCACGGTAATCGCTGTCAGTGGTTAATGCAGTCGAACTTTACCTTGCCAATTAAAGAGGCTGAGTGCATTATGGTTTTTTCCGAGAGAGACCGAAGAAAAAACTATAAGCTATCCGATTACCTCTACGTCATGAATTGGTACCGAAATCCAAGTTGTAGAAATATACTGGTCCATTCTGTCCCGTCTCACTCTTCAAGCACAGGTAAGCGCTTGTAAGAAACATGTTTCGACGAGCCACCAGTGTGCGCACAGGAACAAAGCAGAATGAAAAATCTCTTAATTTTGTGTCTTCGGTAGAGGTTACAAAACTGTGGCTTTTCGTGACAGGTGGAAAGGAACCCCAGGCAATAACTGTAGCTGTAATAAAGTTCCGTTTATTCTCCTTTTATTCCCAGTGAAAAATGTGCATCTATAAAATGTTACTAGGATAGCACGGTGGTAGTGATATCCATCATCACGAGCATAGAAGATTCGAAAAGAAGGGAAAGTTTTCCTTACAACCAGTAGCAATGAAGAAAACAACAAATGTGAGCGTTGGAAATTTAGATGGCATTAGAAAATAAGAGTGCTTCCTTGGGGAAAAAACACTGTGTTGGGTAGAGAAATCAAACTTCATTGGTACGGAGCTACGGAATTCACTTTAGCTTTGGTTTCTCAAAGAATTATATTACAGAGGTAAGCTCGAAGATAAAGTCAACAACGGCAATTCAGATTCTTTCTGCCACCTCATAGTAATAACGTAGATAATCTGCGGAAATTCATGTAGGTCGAAGGGAAAGCAGACTCTGTCTATAGGTTCCATTGAGCATAGCAAAATGAATGAGCTGCTCGCGTTTTAAGGCATCGAATTCCGGTGTGAACATCTCTGATATGCGCGTCTTCGCCTTTTCGATAAGAGAACGACATCTGAATGAAAGAAACCATTTGATCATTTTCACTTTCACAACCGAATCAGCACCACTGACTCCGTGCGAGAAGACGCTGTTGCCTCGACAAGCACGTGTGTGTCCTCCTTGAGATGTCCAAATCCTGGTTTGTAGCGCATTTTACGAAAAAGTTTGCTGTCCTGAAATGGTATTCGATCCAATCCCTTTCATACTGACCCACCACTTGCAGTGTGGAAAACAGAATTAATAGCCCAAGTCTGCGTCGAAGATCACTCCTTAAGTCTTAAACAAGACAACATTGTTTGGGTTTTCAAAGCCAGTGAATGTCAAACATTCACCTTGATACTTCCCCTACCGCGGACAGCGATGTGGCAGCTCGTCTCGAGTTGAAGCTCCCTAATCGTTATTCCATTCGGCCCGATAAGACGTCCAACATAGCTACACTTCACTCCACTGAACAGTGTTCATCTTTCAATTGCAATACTTAAGCTAAGAAGTTGGAAATAGAAAATATGTAAAGACGTACGGTGGAGGTGAGGGAATGTAGATTTTTACGGACATAGTGACATGGCTTTCAGTGCTTTTTTCCTGAAAACCGATAAGATTATGGTTGACATGGCCACCAGCACAAATGCGTGTGATAATCGCTAAAAATCTCCAGTTTTTACTTCAAGGTTAATTTGAACGAAAAGCCATTGAGCCTCCGCATTACTGTTGAAATGGATCAAAGGACCGTTAACTAATAAGAGGCACAAAAACTTTCTGAATCTTTGAAGATGAGGTGTCGAGGATGGTCTGCTGTCATCTACGATGATCATTCGGTATTTTTCGTCAACTTTGTGTTAGCTTAATAATTCAAGGCATTGATCATTCGATAGTTGGAGCAGACTCGCACCTTACTGCTTGAGAACTTGCAAGGAAATTAGATAGCAATAATACAGCAGTTGGGGTCGCGTGTAGTGCAGTGGTCAGAGGCACCATGCAGTACACACTGAATCTATCCCGCAATACCAGGCCCACCAAGCTCTCCATCTCTCCTGGGTCGGCAAATTGGTACCAGACCTGCCTAGTAGGATAGCAGCGCTGGTTAGATACATCGGGAGGCTGTCGCGAGTCATTTTAAAGGCCAGATATGCATTCAACCATTGCAAGAATACGAGATGAACGCGCTTAGCTCGCTTTTCCGTCGATTATCCAGTTAAGCCTCGATAGAAACGGCTACTGACCAGATGAAATGCGAAGAGACAATAAAATTGCCACATGACACTCACCGTGATTTTGGAAGTCCGAACAACTTGCTGTTGCTGTCCAGCGACTGGTGTAGTGCCAACTTTGGACGGTGCTCTGGCGAATTCGCTTTCGTGTTGGGTGATCGCACCTCTTGGATTGTGTGCGACCGGCACGTTTTGTGTCAAGTTTGTTCGATATGTGGACTGCTTTTTACTCCCATAATATTCACAGTGTTCCGAAACGCTAGTTGATTTCATTTCCTGTTGAAGGTCAGTGTGAGTAGTCGGTGTCTGTATTGACCGATGTTGCTTCGCCTGTGTAGTGATGTTTTGGCTTAAGATATTACGACGTTCCAACACTTCGCGAATGAGATAAAGCAGACGAAGTTGCTGAGTTCTTTCCACAGGAATAGTGGATTCGTCACGATTTTCATGTTCATTAGGCAAGCTACGCTGCATAGTGGCACCAAGTTGGGATACAGCGCTCTGAAATGTCCTAATCCAAAATTGAACACAAATTTTAGAATGCGGCAATTTACCGCTGCAAGTTGCTCCAAAATGGGATTGTGATCGAACATGCTGCTAATGAACTGGAGCTGAGCTCTGAAAGAAGCTTTACCTCGGAACCGACTGCATTTCAACAAACACATTGGAAAACGTACCCGTCTCCGGCCATTTTGGCGAGGTGTGCAGCCGGCGGCTCATTGAGCTCCAAGCAAAGGAATTCTAGAACTAGTTGGTCTACGAGTGCAGCGGAGCTATCACCTGCAGTGCCATGCCGGATCAGTTCCACACTTTCCGTCGCCTGATTACCTGCAGCCAGAGGTGGCTGCATCCCAAAGAATTAACGAGTATTATGATGCAAGTAATGCGATTACCCAATCACCAGGCCTTATATAGAGCCTCTTATCTCTATGCTTTGGATAACTTGTGTGATAACTGCATTGTTTCCCTGATCCTAGTGATGCAGTTATTATTTTATATCAAAACTTACAGTTGTGTTTGAGAATTCTATAGCAATTGGCTGACATGATTCACCACGTCAGTGTTCTGTGAGCCAAAAGACCACTGCTGCGAGTCCAAACTGTACTATAAACGCTCCGCAAGCAGGATCTAATACCTTCAAACATTAGTACGACTCTTATGCAAATTAAGTAAAGAATCTCTTAGTCACAGAATGTGGCTGCCTATTCATTTTTTTTAAAGTGCCACACTATCTGATTTATGTTCTGAGCGCTTAGATTGCGTCATGCCCTTGGTTCTTTAGCACATAACGGACGATATGGACGTATACGTGTATAAATGGGGCTCGAGTGGCCAATAAAAATAACCTATAAAGGTTATTTTCTTTTTCATTCTTAATTTCGCAGAGCAGAACCTTTTTTGTCACAGTATCTACAATCTGTAAGGGCGCATGCGGCGCAGCGGTTGGACACGCTTTGCAACATATGCGTGGAACCGATACCCCCGCCCAAGGCTTACCAAGCCTTTCATCCCTCCGGAGTCAGCAAATTGGTACCAGGCTTGTCTGGAAGGATAGTAACACTGGCTCGATACATCGGCAGGCCACCGCGAGTCATTGTAAACGCCAGTTTTCATTCAATCACCTCCAAGAATACTTGATGAAGTTGAATGCATCGCGCGTCCCTCAGCGATTGATCAACACCGACAGCCTTTATACTTTTTACCTGTAATCAAGGCTTAATCAACGTCGAATCCTTTATGCTTTTATTTCTAATCGTTCACTAGCTGGTCGATAATAAAGCAATCTAGAAGTTGTTGAAAGTGAAAAGCGATTCCTTGCACCCAGTGATCTGAAAAACCACAAAAAACTTTTTGGAGGAAGTTTATCCACCGGCTACTTGACTACCCGTCAATTGCTATTTCATCTTAGTCGCTGTGATGAATTACGGCTATTGAATGAAAGGGACGGGTATAAAAGACACAGAGACATACACAGCGTGGTTCGATCTGGCTCGGGGTCCAAGTTTTACGACTATCCCAGCATCGTTGTGATTATACCTCACACCATACCCTGTAGTGAAAAACTATCACCTGTATCACCTGTAGTCCCGTTGATCATCGAGTGACTCGAGCGGGCATCATGAAATCTTCCATTTTTCCCCGTCGCGTGCAAGAATAGGCCAGTAAGTACTGCTCGCTCTAGGGACTCGTAAAGCATCATATCTTTCTTCAAGGCTCTTTGTGAAGAACTCTGACCATCGGGTCGGTGGTCTTCTTGCATTACGTTTGACATCCCGAGGAATCCAGTCACTAATCGCTCCTGTCCATTGGTTGTCATTCATACGCACTACTTGTCCGGCCCACCTTATCTTCAACTGTTTGACGTACAGAGCGGCATCTTTAATTTTTAATAGTTGATGCAGGTCGGAGCTTAGGATTACATCCCTCACTTTTGTGAAACGGGATACTCCCAGCATCGTCCTTATTGCGCGTTCAATAACGTTGAGTGGTCTTCCATCCTGATTACTCAGCGACCAGGATTCTAACGCATACGTTAGGGCAGAAAGTACCGTCGAGTCGAAAAGGTGGGAGCGGAGTCCGGTGTTTTTTGTTCTCTTCACTACATCCTCACATCCTCGATGCTCTTCAAAGCTTCCCAGGCCGCTCGTTTCCTTCTGCTCAGCTGTGGAGCTAAGTCGTTCACCATGTTGATTTCCCGACCAAGGTAGATGTAAATGGAGAACTCGGAGATGTTCGTTGAATCGTTGAAAGTGAGGCAGAGCGGTTTCCTGTACTCTCGCGATACTTCAATGAGTCTTGTTATCATGTGGATGTAGTCCATCGTAATAAATCCTTTTCGAAACACTGCTTGCGCACATGGCAGCCCTTCTTTCAGTGTTCTGTAAATCCTGTTTAGGAGGACTCGAGGGAAAGGTTGGTAGAGGACACAGCAAGCAGATCGGGCAGTAGTTACCGATATTGTACAGGTCGCCCTTCTTGAACAATAACACGGCCTTGTTGGTCTTTCACTGAGTATGGACCTTGCAATCAGGCAGGTAACGTTTGAAGAGCCGAGCTAGTGTGTTTACGAAGACTAGCGGAAGGTTCCTCGGGTGTTCTAGTCTTATCCTGTCCGGACCTGGTGCTGTTCGACTTTTCACCGACGAAATGGCATGTCCGATTTCGGAATTGAGAACTAGTAGTACAACATATCCACCCTCCTTTATTTCATATGACTGAAGGTGGACGTGGCTATCGAAAAGATCCGAGTAGTATTCGTGAATGATTTTCTCCATTGCCTTTTTGGACGCTGTAACTGTTCCGTCTAGGCGTCGAAGTGCAATCACCTTGGTCTCGTAATTGGAGAAGCTTTGATGGGCTTTGCAAATGTTTTTCCAAGCCTCCGTAGCTTCGACCATTCTTTTGCTCTTCTCTTCTTAAAACCTCCTTTTATCGCCTGTCTGCACTGTTTTGCAAGTTCGGACGTTAGTTCGCGGTTGCCTGCAGCTCGTGCGATTCCACGTTGGTGCATCAGCTTGTATGTTTCTGGAGACAGACATATCTTGGTGACTTCCGAACTCTAAGCGTTCATAGCGCTAACGTGAAGATGTTGAATGGGCCGATCGTATTCTTCGTCGATGCTATTCACTACGGCATCTTTCCAACACCCGACTAATGACTTGAATAAGTCCCGTTTACGGTGGTTCTGGGACTTCGGTTTTTGAATTTAGCGGCTTTTTCTCCTTTCCTTGAGATATAGAATCGTGCACGAAGGAGACGGTGATCCGATCCCGTGTAGAATTTTGGGACAACAGCAACATCGGTTAGGCAAAACCTCCTATTTACCGTGATATGGTCTATTTCGTCATGGTACTCTCCATTGGGAGACTCCCTCGTCCAGCATTGAGCGTGAAGCTTCTGGAATTGCCAGTTACCATGGATGGTCTTGGTCGCTACGATAAACTCAGGTAGCCGCTCACTCTGTTCGTTCCATTCTAATCCGTGGGTTCCAATGTGACGTTCCTGTTGGTCCAATGTTGGCGTTGAAATCTCCAGTGATAGCCTTGAAGAATGTGTTGTCTTCTCTGTAGAACTTCTTCAAGTCCATATAGAACGCTGCCGTCATAGTTTGATGTCGGCGCGTAAACGACGAAGATTGTCAAAGCCGGTATTGATCCACATCTTTTTAATCGTAAACGTGCGATTCGAGTTGTTAGTTGTTCGAATGAATCGATGTTCAGGGACAAAGTCGTATTGATGAGAGCGCCGATGCCACCGACTCCTCTACTGTCGCGCGTTCCGAGAAACAGTTCTTCTCCGGTGTCATAGACGGCGTTGAAAGGCTGGCGTGTCCTCGTCTCGGCCAGACCGATGGCGTCGTACCTTCTCCTTCTTGCTTGCATGAGCAAGTGTACTATCGAGGACTCGAATGCAAGTGTACGTGCATTGTAGGTACAGATTGTCACTACAGTACTTTGTAATCCAGGCAGTTCCCATTGGCTCTGAGATTTCAGCAGCCTGTCCGTACTGGTCCTACCCAACGCTGCAAAATTGTGGGCTCTTTCGGGGTCACGGGAATGAGGCCCGTTTTTTTAAACTTTATTTAGCATTTTGATACCCACGTATAGCTTGCTGGGCTCTGAACGTCGGGGCTGGGTATACTCACGGGCAGCTTGCCAGGCTCTCCCGAAGTGGATAAGGAGCTCATTTGTTGTAGACGACGTTTAACCGCCTCCCATATACTTCTCTCTCACTTGATCGCAGGCTTTTGACCGAATTGACTCGTAGAATACAATCCGCATATGCGAGAACGCACCCACACACGCATGCATGAATGCAGAAACAGGAGTTCATCCCCTGCATCCACCTAGGTCTCAAGGAAGCAAAGGTCGCTTTTGGTCCGCGATTAACCATCTATCCTCCACCTGGAGACGCGCCACGTAGCCTCGCGGCTAACCAGCTCGAGATCCCTCATATGAGAGAGATCCGTGGTGAAAAACTATATCAGGCCGAAAATAAAAGGTTAACATTGAAAAATATTGTTCGAAATTCTGACAGCAGGGCGGTTGCACGATAGAACATAGTAACGTTTAGTGAGAATTCGCGTAAATACCACCTATATACCATCTATGTAAATACCATCTAAGAAAGCGATAGAACCAAGTGTCTTCTACAATCCTCTCGTATTCAAAACCACTCGTGTTCTATAGTTATTGAAGAATTACGGTTTATTTTCACAAGCGTAGCAAATCCATTGAGAGTGAAAGTTATGCGTTGTCCCAAGCGGCAAACTGCTGAAACTGTCGCATCCGTTTCGTGTTCGTGAAGCAACTTAACGTTTAGTTTTACTTTTAGAATTGATTTCTCCAAGACGTCATTTCAGGCCACAACCTTCTCACCACTTCTTTCGGTTGCATGAGCGAGAGGTTAATACAGTTTCGAAATTAATCTTAAATTTCTGTAGGTGCCGCCACCAATCGGCTTGTTTCCTCGTCGCCGAATGACCACATATTCTCAAGAACCTCTTCATCAACTCGTAGCCCTCTGTGGAAAGACGATGACAAAGCAGTGAAACAGCGGGAAGAAAAGTTGAGGTCTATAGGCTATGACGAGTTATTCAGACAGGTAAGATGTACTATCACATCTTACAAAGACAGCCAATAGAAACTGGAAGTTCCCAGAAATGCTACTTTTCGTTGCTTGTGGTGTATAGGCTTCTGAAATACAATTGATGATGTTCAGCAAGAAATAACTTTGGCTAATGATTTATCACGGTTGGAAAAGGATAATAGGCGAACAGAGTAATATCTTGAACGTAGGGAATATGTTGAACCATTTCTTCGCCGAGTGTTTATTTGCTTTTGATAAACT